CCACCAGGCTGGCTGGTGTGAGGCGCAGCTGGCCTTGCTGAGCTCAGCCCCGGGGGCGAGCAGCCGTGGGAGCCACAGCTGAGCCCCTCTGTCCCTCTGTCCCTCTGCCTGTTGCTGGTGGTGCTTTATTTTTCCTCCACTTTGCCGCTCCCCACCCAGCCACCGAGGCGCGCTCCGCTGTGTCTGCTCCGCTGTGTCTTCTCCGCTGTGTCTGCTCCGCTGTGTCTGCTCCGTGTCCGGCTGCTGCACCAGGGGCAAGCGAGGGGGAGGTGTGGCCCTGCGACCGCCCCGCCCTGCCCGCCGAGAAGTTACCGGGCATGCGATGGGGCAGTGTCATCCGTGGCACACTGGGGAGCCCGAGCGAAATGCCCCGCACCCCTCCACGCCCCAAAGGCCTGTGCCCCGTGGCCGGTTTCCGCCCCGCAGCCAGGCGCTGCCTGGTGGGCGGGGATGCAGGGGTGAGAGTTGCAGGTGCCGGCCAGGGTGTGCTTTGGAGGTTCGGCCCGAATCCGCGAATCCGCCTCTCCCGCCACTAAGTCCTCGGCAGCTCTGCGAGTCTGTGGATGGCTCGGAGCGTGCACCTCCTCACTTCCTCCCGGTGCGCCCTTCACTGGGGCACCCCCCAACCCCCTCCGGCTGCGGAGAGGCCTCTCAGGGCCCCGAGGCCAGTAAGGACTGCCCTTGCTTTGCAGCCTGCACAAGGCCACGCCCCAGGTGCCCGCCACGCCGCTGAAGGCCAAGCGACTGAGCACCTTCCAGGAGTTTGAGAGCAGCACCAGCGATGCCTGGGACGCCGGCGAGGACGGGGACGAGCTGCTGGCCGTGGCGGCCGAGAGCCTGAACACCGAGGTGGCCATGGAGACGGCGCGCCGCGTCCTGCGCAACCACAGCCAGCGGCAGGAGCGGCGTCAGCTGCAGGAGGTGTCGGCGCCTGGGCAGAAGCCACAGCCCCTGGCAGAGCCTGCCCTGGTCCCCAGCGGTGACCTCCGGCTGGTGAAGTCCGTCAGTGAGAGCCACGCGCCCTGTCCTGCAGGTGGGATGGGGACTCGAGGGGACGTGCATTTCTGGGCCGGAGTCACTTGCTGTGGAGGGGTGGGGTCCCCGCTCGCTGGCAGCGGGCATCCCGCCTTTGAGAGAAAGTGGCCGCGTGGGCGAGCCCTCCTCTCTTTGTCCTCCTAGCCGAGTGGCCGGGCCTGCAGCGTTCGTGGCCGGTTCTGAGAGGCTGCAGCGAGCACAAGTTCTCGGGGACCCTGCCCCCCGCCCCCAAGGATGCCCTGGCTCTCTGGGGGCGACGTTTACTGCTGGGGGCACCTCCGCGGCTGCTTCCTGTGGCTCCTTCAGGGACACGGCGCATGGGCTCAGGGTGCGTGGCGGGGGGTGGGGTCTGGCGTCAGAACCGCCCGGTGCGGATTACACGCCCTGCCGGGGCGGGCTGGTGTCCGCGTTTCGCACCCCGAGCCTGGCCCGTGGCGGCCGCTCTGAGACTGCTGTCTGTGCTTCGCCGTTGCTGTGGTGGAGGACCCAGGTCACGACACGACGCACGGATTTGACGAGCATCCGCGACGGGCATGTGCTCAGGGCCCGGGGTGTCCCGCTGGACGAGCCAAACGGCAGTCCTTGCCTTGTGGAGCGACCTGTCCGGCGGGGGCCCAGTCACATGCAGTCTGCTGGGGCTGCCGTGACGACGGCTGTGAAGGTTACGTCTCCCTGAGGACGGCGACTTTGCGGTCTGGAGGCTGGGGGGCCGAGGGCCGGGCTGGCGCGGTGTGCCCGGGGAGGGCCTGTCCTCCGTGGCAGAGGGCAGAGCGGGGCAGCGAGCTGTCTGTTCTTACGAGGGCACTGACCCCCCACGGGGACCGTACCTCGTGACCTCGCCGCGTCCCCTCTTCCTAGCACCATCACGGGGTGGGGTGACACAGCGCCATGGTGCGCGTGGCATGTGGCTGGGGGACCTGGACCATAGGCAGCCTTGAGCTGCGTGTAGCTGGGGTGCGGAGCCTTGGGTGGCCTCCTCCTGGAGGAGCCAAGTGAAGGGTGCTCCAAGCTGCTCGTGCCGGGGAGGGGCCGGCGACAGGGTGCCTTCGGCCTCCACCCGCCCGGCATCCTTGCTTTCCGGGCAAGCCTTTGTGTGCTCTCCGTTATCGATGACAATAGCTAGCACCTATCGATCGTTTCCTGCGGGAGGGACCGTAGCAGGCCCCTCGTTCCACTCCGCAGGGGAGGGGTGCAGAGCGTGGCTTGCTCAGGTGGCACTGAGCCGCGGGGCAGGGGGCTCAGAGCCGAGCGCCCCGCTGTTGGCCCCTGGCCTCACCTGTAGAGCAGGGCTTCTCGGCGGGGATTCTGCTCCCAGGGGACGTGCAGCAGTGACTGGGGACAGTTCTGGTTGTCACATCTGTGGCAGGGGGTGTGTGCTACTACACAAAGCGGGCAGCGGCCAGGGGCGCTGCTCGGTGTGCCATGGAGACTCACCTGCGCGTGCGTAGAGCCGCTGGTGGGGGACTTGCCGGAAGCCTGCTCTCCAGCACCAGGTGCTCCTGGTCCTCTCCTGGTGGCCGGCAGTGGCGGATGCTCTGGAGCAGGCTGAACGCGTGGGTGTGTTCTCATTTTCAGGCCCCAGGCCTCGTGGCCTGTGAGTCACCGGACAACTTGCTCGGTGGCAGCACGGAGGTGAACACGTGTCGGTCCTCGTTCTCACGGGACCCGGCCGTGGCACAGGGAGGCTCTCCGTACAGTGTGGTGACTGGCAGTCCGTGGGGAGAGTACACGGCGTCCTCACTCCCCTGAGACAGATGGAGCGCCGGAGCTGTGGGCAGGATGCCACAGCGTCCCGTGGGGACGTCCCAGTCAGCCTCCCAAGGAGGGCCAGGTGTTTCTGGGAGGGCTTCAGAGGGGAGGTGGTCCCTGCAGGGTGTCCAGGAGGTGCGGCCTGAAGTGGCTGGGCCGGCGGCTCTGGGGGGAAAAGGGGCTCGCTCCGTCTGCATGGTTTGCCAGGTCCCTAAAGGTAGGGACCTTTCCAGTCACCTGTTTCTCCTTGGTGTCTAGTGTAGTTACATACCCGCCGCTGGAGTAAACTGAGTTGTTCTTCGACCTGGTGGCCACATGCTACCCGCCCCCCTGCCGTGCTCTGCCTCTCCCCCCATGGCACCCCCACTCTCTCCATAGATTCCCAGGGCCAGGCAGGGCCTCTGCCCAGACGTGGGTGCTGTGACTCGCGTTTCTCTCGCTGCTCACACGAGCGGCGGTTTGGAATTCCCCGTGTCCCGGGACGTCCCACTGTGCGGGGCGCAGTCCCGTGGAGCTCTGCTTCTCCCGCTTCATGGGGCGCTGCTGCCAGAGTTTATGTCAGATGCTCGTCCTGTCCCCGCGTGCTGCTGTGGGGAGCAGGCGTCACTCTGCACATTGCCCACTTGTCCTGTCCCCGCGTGCTGCTGTGGGGAGCAGGCGTCACCCTGCACTTGCCCGCGGGGCCTGCCTGCTGCCACCGCTTTGGCCCTCAGCCCGAGGAGATGCTGGCCCGAAAGTTCCGTGATGACCCCGCATGCGGTCTCCCCGCGCCCGCGCGCTCCGTCCAGTTGTCCCGACTTCCTTCATAAACGTCCAAGCAGCCTGTCGCCTTCATACCTGAAGTCAGATGCACTGGGCTTGTTTTGGGGTGTCATTGGGTTAATGGCAAAGTGTAGTTTCAGCTGGGAAGGGCTCGGTGGGCACAGCCAGGTGACAGCTGTTCCCATGGCTGACCTCGATGGAGCTGCAGATGGGGTCTTGTGTGGAGGCTGACTGGTGACGGTTAGACCCCACCCTCGGGGACCCTGGAGGTGGAGTGTCACTGTTTTCCGCTTGCGGTGACAGGGACTAATGGCTACGACATTACCGTTCCCTCGGGGACGTTGCTGTCGCTTTCTGTCCAGCTTCCACCTTCCGCACCTCAGAGTGGAGGCCAGAGGTGCGCTGTGCTCAGGAGTGACGGGCCCTCGCGGGTCTGAAAGCCTCGGAGGTCAGACGAATGGAACCGAGCGTGTCTGGCCCTGTTCTTCCCACGGAACGCTTTCCCGTGGGGCCCGAGACACTGCGTGATGCAGTCTGGAGGGGGCGGGGCCCTGAGTCACGCCCCTGTCCTTCCCACACCATCGAGCTCTCCCCCGAGCAGGCCAGGGGTCGAGGCCCCGGGGAGCAGGAGCCAGTGGTGGGGGTGGGGGGCGCTTTCTCCCCTGCGCCCACTTTTGCAGGCTTCTGGAAGCTTCCCTGGGCCGGACTCTGCCCAGAGGCTGTGGCCGCTGCTCCTGGTGCCCGAGGGCTCCTGCGTGGGGCCTTCCCATCCCCACTTCGGGGTGACGAGCGGCCCTGGGAAGTGCTCTGTTCTCGCAGCCAGGTGTCCGCTCACTTGGCCGCGTCCGTCGCCTGCCCCGTTTCCTGGAGTTCGTTTTTCACTCTGCTCTGAATTTCAGGCGATGCAGTCGCGCGATGGGTTCCGGCCTGAGGGTTCAGAGCCTCTGCGTGCCTCTCGCTTGGGAGCCCCTTGTTGGTCCCGGTGGTTCTTTGTCCAGTGACCTGAGCACCTTTGGCTTTTCCCCTGGCCGTCCCCGGTCCTGGGCTGCTGATGTCATGCGTTCTCACCTTGCCCCGTGGGTCCCTGTGGGTCCCTGTGGGTCCCTGCGGGCACAGGCCCTGCAGCTGGTCATGGGAGCAGTGGTGCCCCGGGTGGGGGCTAGGCGGGCTGGCGCCCCTCCCTGCGTGCAGTGGGGTTTGGCTCTCTCCGCTTCCTCGCAGGACTCGGGGGATCTGGGAGGCCCAGACAGGCAGTGGCGTCCCCATTGTTGGGACACTGGCCTTGGCCTCCTGGCCTCTGCCTTCTCAGGCTGCACCCCCTTCACAGGTGTTTGGGGCTTTCCCCAGGCCCAAGCGCTCCATGCACCCCCTCCCTGCCCCACACTAGCAAACCCTCGGGCCACGTCATGTGGGCGGGCCTGGTCAGGAGGGCCCGGCTGCTCCTAGTCCCTGGCGGCTGGAGCTTCCTGGGTGTCCCTGTCCTGTTTCCATGTGGGCCGTGTCTGACTCACGGTGCCAGCGAGGCGGGGTAACGTCATCGACACTGGCTCGTTTCGTTTTATTGCCCAAGAAACCAGGGTCCTCGCTGCTCCGTGCTGGCAGGGAGGGACGTGTGACAGGGCAGCGTTCACACGGAAAGTGGCACAGCAGGTGCGAGGCCGCCTGGGGCAGCGCACGGCGGTCGGAGGTCCAGGAGCCCGCCCTCACCCTCAGTCCTCTCTTCCTCTGCAGAAAGTGCCAGCGACCCTGTCCCCCTGCAGAGGTCCCAGTCCCTCCCACACCCGGCGACTGGCGCACTGGACGGGACGTCCGACCCCAGCACCCTCAGCAGCTCGGCGTTAAGTGAAAGAGAGGCTTCCCGGCTCCACAAGTTCAGGCAGCTCATCGCCGGCCCTAACACGGACCTCGGTGAGTCCCGGGGCTGGAGGGCTGTGCAGCTGCGTCTCGTTTCCGACAGAGTCCCCGTTCTTGTCGTTTAATGCCCTTGCTTCTCTGCGATTTCCCTTGTGTAGACGTGTCACGTTAACGTGCGTCCAGTGCGATTTGATAGGTGTGTGCGGTTCTTTTTCTCGTAAGGCCCCAGTCACACTCTGGGTGTCTTAGAGCCGCCCTTGGTTTGCCCTGCAAGGCCGGGTGGGTGGCCCCCCTTCTTCCTCATCGTGTCCGTGGGCGCAGAGCTGGCGAGCGACCCCTGGGCACTGCTGCCTTCGCACCTGCCGGCGGGGGCCTCCCCCTGGGCGGACAGGGCTGCAGGCTGTGAGCACTGTGGGGGAGCACTGCAGGGGAGCCTGCCTGCGTAGGCCGTCGGGCCAGCGGGGGACAGGACAGTACCAGTGTGGTTCTCATGGGTCATGATACTGTGTGGACGCCCTGCCACCAGGCTGGAAGCCGTGCTCACTCCGTTTCCTACTGGAGTCCCCCTTGAATCCACCTTCTTTCGCTGGCGTGTCTGCTCTTTGTCGAGTGCCACTCTGCGCTGGGCATTTGTGGATGCTGGAGTTTTCAGGGGATCAGTTGTGGCCTTGGTCACGAGATCACTCTTTGTTTGGGGGCAGGTGCCACAGTGGAGCTCTGAGGGCTGGGGCCCCGAGGCGGGCAGTGCCCCTCTCGGCCAGCAGGTGGCGTGTGAGGCCCACGGATGGGTGGCACAGAGTGGCCCAGGCAGACAGAGCTGCCACCGGCCACGGCCACCGTGAGGCAGCCTGCCTGGGGCACGGGAGGTGGCCGCGGGAGGAAGGTCTTGGCAGCGGCAAGGTGCTGTCCGCTCCGCGCGCAGTTCTCACGGGGGCTTTTTGTAGTTTTGTTTCTGCACGGGACGTGTGAGGCGGTTACACTGCAGCTGGGCGGTGAGAGGGTGCGGCCTTCCCTGCCCCCCCGCCGCCCTGCGCCCACTCCCAGGCGTCTTCCGGACGTGGTCCCCGCGGGGTCACGCGTCATGCTTGCTGCGTCCCCCGTGCGTGTGGACCTGGCGCGGTGCCCCAGCCCCGTGTCGTCGTCTTTGACCTGGGCGTTCACGGAGCGCGCGGCCCCTAGGGCCACGGGGCCACCTTCCTGCTGTGACGTGGCGGTCACTGGCGTTCTGAGCCGCCAGAGCCGGAGGCCGAGGTGCGGTTTGTCTGGACGTTGACGAGGGCCACTCCGATCTCTTGGTCAGATGGCGGCTGCCAGGGGGTCTGGCGACAGGTCGCTCTTTCTCCCTTGGGAATTCAGAAGTAGCTGTTGACGGATGCTTTGCGGCTGTGCGTTTACCCAGTTCGCTTGTTTTCTCCACTGGACGGGGATGCTGTTCTGTCCCCGCTCATCCCTGTGATGCTGCGTTTGTCGTGTAGCCCGGAGGCACCGGAGTCCGTGTGGCGCTCTGAGCGAGCCAACCCGTGGAGCCCGCCGTGCACTTCCTGCCCCCCACAGGCCCTGCGGTCACCCCGAACTGTTCTCAGGGAAGACCGAGAACTGCAATTCAGACAGGTGGGCCTCCCCCTGCTGGGGCCTTCTAGCGCGTCCCTCAGGGCGGGGAGCTGGAGGACCGGGCGGAAGTCTCACCACCAGGTGGGGAAGAACAGGGGGCCGCGTGCAGGGCTGCTGTCGCAGTGTGAGCACGGACCTTGGCTGCTGGCTTTCCCAGCCCGCCAACCCCTTGAGGCGGCGTGGGGGCCAAGGCCCAGAGTGGCGGTGAGTGGTGGTGAGTGGCGGTGAGAGGCGGTTCCGTGGTGGGCTGCCCACGTGGAGCGCTGGCTCCGCTGCTTCCGCGCCGGGACCTCGACCTTGAGCGAGCCGGGTAACTGCCGTGCTCAGTCCCCTCGTTCCTCCGGAGGCGGGGCGATAGCACGACCAGTCGTGCGGGGGATGCACGCAGCGCGCATGGGAGGGGCCCAGACGTCACACGCAGAAAAGTGAGTCCCTTTTTTACTTTCGTTTGCATTGGTCTATTTACCTAACTTGATTTTTAGGACACGGACACATGTGGTCACTTTTGTGATTGTTGACGGGTCAAGTTAGTTTACAGATACTTTTCTGGCCGTGTTTAGCAGTTTCTACTGGTAGGTGACAAGGAGAGAGCTGGTGACAACAAGATTGCCTGACGAGGCCGCCGTTTTGGGCCGGGATCCGAGCCCCATTTAGAATCCTCTTGTGGCTTTCGTCACTGCGGTAACGTTGAGAAATTAAAATCGTACTTAAAAATGAAGCTTTCAAGACTCGTGGGAAGATGTGAGTAGGTACGGAGAGATTGGAGAACATGTAAAAATCAGATTCTTTTGTTACGTTGGTGGGATTATGGGTTTTTTTCTTTCTTTAGAATTCTATTTAAATACCAAATCTAGCACCAAAATGCTAACCCTAAAGCTTTCAAAGCTGAGCAATTATTTGGTTTGTATTTAGTGGTAAAACACCCGGCAAATTGCTTGTTTTTGTAAGGCCTTTAAGGTGGCTTCAGAAGACAGCAGAACGTGTCTTTGTAACGCTGAGTGGAAGACGCAGGTGGCAGGTATTCGCCAGTGCCGGAAAGCAGGTCGGCGAGGTGAGAAGTGCCCACAGGAACGGTTCTACGTGACGAACGCCATGCTGCCCAGCGGGGCGCTGGTGTCTGTGTCCAGCTTGTGCTCAGTCGTGGGCGCGGGGTTGAACGGGACACAGACGACATAGCAGCCCATCCGCCCTTAGTGGTGACTCAGCATTTCCTCACAAGGAAGCTGCCCGCCTGGAAGCCCAAGAAAGTGACACCTGGAGGGCTTGTTTTTATCACGTGCGTCTGTGAATGGGAGTGCCACGTGGCAGTGTGCAAGCATGCGTGTCCTGGGGCCTGTGGAGAGGGGCTTGAGGCCAGCTGGTGTGTGACATGCCGCCCTGGCCCTCCCAGCATTCAGACGTGAGCCCATGAGGGCCCAGCAGGGAGTGGGCGCCTGGTCTGGGATTTAAGCTGGAGACCATCCAGTAGATGGCGCTGGGGAGCAGAGGTGTTTGTGTTTTGTTTTTGCTTGGGTCTGGGGTTTGGAGTTGTTCACCCTGGAAGCAAGAATTTGAGTTAGACGCCCCCTCGGGGCCTGGGGCTGAGGGACAGCCCTGCCTGCCAGTGGGGGCAGGGGGAGGAGGAAATGCAG